CTGCTGAAATCTCTCCGCTCCTGAAACCCAGCCACCCCCAGGCTCCACCCCAGATCTCCAGAATCCCTACCCCACAGTTGGCAAACCTTTGTTTAACTTTTGCTCTAACATGGTGTAAGAAGTCTGTTGTATTTTTAGAGGTTCGGCATATAATATTTCTGCACAAGACCTATTAGATGAACTAGAACAGCACGAGAGCTTGACCCACCTCCCGTTCACTTCAAAAGTAAATTTTAAATTGAAAATATTCTTCAGGGTGTATAGTGACACAGGTATTAAGATAAAGCCTCTTGGTGATTACTGCAGGAGATTGCATCATATCCATTTTCCTATCCATTGAGAGTTAAAGCTATCTCATTACTGCAAATGGATTTTACCCAAGCTATTAGCCATTAATTTTCCTTAAAAAGTGTCATGCAGGGCTCTTTTTGTAGCAGGTACTCATTTGCATATTAAGCGACACACCCCTAATGTAGCCAATCCTCCAAGAGCTTACAGTAGCTCCTGTAAGAAGAGCTCTGTAAACTCTTGGTGGATTGGCTACATTAGGGATGTGTGGCCTAATATGCAAAGGAGTTCCTGCTACAAAAAAAGCCAGCCTCTCGCATTTGTGTGCTAATCTGCTGCCATTCATTGATCTTGCCACTTTGATCCAATCTCAGTTTCACTTATGCCTCTGACTGGTCCTTCCTGACACTTCTACCCCCACCTTCCTGTATGTATGGCTTGAAGAAAATATGTTTCGATTTGTCTGAGGATGTGTGCTTGCACATGAAAGCTTACACCTTAAATAAAACTTTGTTGGTCTTAAAGGTGCCACTGGACTCAAACTTTGTTCTGCTACTTCAGACCAACAATAATGGGTTCTAGACACATTGCAGGTGATCAGCTCAGGTTTAATTCAGTGATTTCAGCAAAACTACAAGACTCCAGAGCCTCAGCTCTGTTAAATAGCATGCAATTGCCACACCCAAACACACCCTACTCAGAGTGATAGGCCATTCACATAACATTACTACTAGATTGGTTTATTCCAGAGTCCTGGTCGGCTATTGTTCTTGTGCTTCAACCTCAGCCAGTCTCTGGGGTGATTCAATCCCAATACATAACAGTTACTCACCTGAATCTTCCTACCCCCCAGTTAGTGGTGAACTGAACACCTAAGCATTTTCACAGATTTGAGTTATTCTGTTAGTCATTAATTTTGCCACAATGTACGCCAAATGAGAGATATGCACATAAATGGATAAGAGGCAGAGACAGGTGGAAATGTACAAAAGACAGAGATAAGAGTGGTTCTGTCATGGTCCATGAATCGGATAATTAGGCAGAAGTTGAGAAGCTGTGTATCTAGTGTGGGCCTCTCTAGTATTACTAATTTTACCTCCTAGGCACTTTTTCCAATGCATGGTACAGCCCGTTTACGGGATGGGCGTGATATAAATGCGAAAAAATTAAAATAAAAAAAATAAAATTTCAATCATAGAAGCTTCTTTCAGTAAACTGCCTACTTTTGTACAGTGGTTTATGGAGCTGTGCTGAACTAAAAAACTTGCATGTCTGTTCCCAACAGCAACCTCTTAAATCCAAATTCTGCCACTACTGATACTAAATTTTACCTGTCTTACAGTGCTGAATGTTTTATCTTCTCGATGGAACTAAGAGGAAAGCAATTACTAGTTCCATTTTAGGAGAGCTGACACTGAATAAGACCTATGTAACCCAGATAATATATAGACCCCCTCACCCACCCATTTATACCCTTAACATGTCAAGGTACCAATACTGGCCACAAATCTTGTTTCTGCAACTACATCTAGGAAATAACAAGCATGTATAAAAACTGAAACATACCATTTGTTTTTTATTAAAAATCCTTTGATTTAAATTCTCTTAATAAAGTTTTTTTAAACATTTTCTTTTTTATATATTTTTTTTTTAAACACAGAGGGAGGAAAAAGACTGGGCAAGAAAGTACAGGCACAGTGGAAACAGTTCCATTAATTACAATGAATAAAAAGAAGGCCTCCCCGCCCCAAGGAACAGGCAACATACAATCCAAATCCTTGCACACACATACACAACAGCAGCTTAAAGCCACAGAAGTATAAGAAAACACACACACCCTGTCTTGGAGGGCAGAGAGGGCAAAGTGAGTGTAAATGACACAAAAGTGCCAGCGAAACAGAGCCCAGTGGGGGGTCTGCATTGGGAGAACCGCTAGGGAAGGGCACGGAAGCCCATGGATGCTTCTCAGGATAACCATGAATTAAAGAGGTACACTGGAACCAAGGGAACATCTTTGGGAGACAACAGGAAACTGTTTGGAGGCTGCTGAATGTTACAGTTAAGTCTCTCCATATAAGGAAGAGCTTGAGAAGGTACCAATAGCATCCACTGAAGGCTATAAGCAAGACAAGGTAACCAAAAAAGGCTAAGGAGGAAAAAAAAATCCATGTATAGAATAACACTATCAATTCCCAAAACAAGATGAAATAATCCAAAACCTGTACTCAAATAACAAAAATTAAAAACCATGCATTACAAAATAATAAGCTTTGGTTACATATTGCTTTCTTCTACTGTATAAAACCTTTTTAGGAAAATTGCATTTGCGTACAGTTAAACACTCCTATGACCGGGTACATTTACAGATTGCAGAAAACACATGTAAACCAAACATGTTTTGGCTGAAACTGTACAGAAATGCACTTCTACTTTAAAAGTTTATACACCAGGGGAAGGTACATATATATGTAACCAAAGATTGTTGTTTTGTGATGCACAGTCTTTAATATTTGTTAGTTGATTTAAGATTTTGGATTATAATTTTAGTCGTGTGTGCCTATGCTTGCCTGGAAGTCATGGCTGACTTCTAGTGACCCCTAGTGGGGCTGGGAGGCAAGGACATTCAGAGAGGTGGCTTGCTGCCTGTCTCTGTGTCCCAGTCCTGGTATTCCTTGGAAGTCTCTCATCCAAGTACTTGCCAGGGACGACCCTGCTTAGCTTCTGAGATGAGGCTTGCCCTGTCGATGTGCCACCAATGATAGATGTGGGAAGGCAATCTAGTAAAAACGTGTGGGCTGGTAATTCTGGTGACATCCAAGGCTGTGGGCCCCATCTCTTCTTCTGTACGTGAACTTACTTCTATTGTCTCAAGAAACCTACTCACCTTGCCCTTCTGTGGAGGATGCTTTTATGTTGTTATGCCCCACCGCCGCCTTCTGGCTAGCCACCCTGGCAGTTTTCAGACAGGAGTGAGGTGAACAGTACGAATCCAGCAGATGTCAGGGAGCCTTTACTGACTGAAGAGCAGGTCGAAGTGTGTGGCCAGGAGATGCTCCCTCAAGTGCTTGACTTCAGAGGAGAGCATCCTGCTTCCCTGATGGGTGGGGCCAACCCTGCCCTGAAAGAGCGTTTGGCATTTTTATAAAAAAGAAACCTTTTGAAACGAAAAACTTTTTATAAGACGACTTTGGAAAAGGGGGTAGGGGAGATGGCTGATGGGAAATGGAGGAGCAGTCCTGGGGAGAACAAGGCAGCGGCTCAACTGATTCTGAAAACAGGGATAGAGGGCCGAGGGGGGCTGACAAAGCAGGTTCCTGATACTGAGCTGGGAAATCATCGCTTGTAGCCGTCAGCAATGGGTAAAGGCGGCTTGGGAGGCATGGCGGGCGAGGGCAGCGGGTTGCCGGCCGCAGGGCCAGGGGAGTCGGTTTTCCGCTTGAAGCGATAGGTGATGGGCAGCAGGAGTTTGCTCTTCTTGAGGGCCTGGACCTTCTTGAGCGTCTCGTCGTCCAGGGCCATGAAGCAACGCCGGGAATACTCCAGCAGGCGCTCCTTGGAGGAATCGAATTCGCCCACCTCGGCCAGCTTTTCGGGAGCCACGATGAGGAGCTCGGCGATGGGCGTGGTCAGAGCCACGGTGTTACGGTCCACTCGGTGGTGCTCAAAGGCCCGGCTCATGCTCTGCAGCTTCTGAAAGGTGTACAGGATCTTCTTGTAGCGGCACAGGACCCCATCCACATCCTTGACTGCGGAGCGGGTTCAGATCCACATGGTGACGGTGGGGGGGGGGAGGGAAGAGCAGTTTGAAAGCAGGAAGAAAAGAACAAAATGGAGAAGGGTTGAAGAGTGGCAAGGGAAGAGAAGGCATACGATCGAGCAGGGGCCACGGACGCCAGGATGAGATGGGAATCGGGTTAGAAAGCAGATAAAGGACATGAAGCAGCCCCGTGGGAAGAAGGAGGGAGAGTGGGGAGAAAGATCGAGAAGGGAAGACCAAGCAAAGAGATGATAACCAAATCAAGCAAGAAAAGAAAGCTCAGTAGGTACAAAGAGTGGAACAGAAATGGAGGACAGAAGCCAGGAGAGAGAGCAGGCAGGCAGCGAAGGGAACCAGTGGAGGAAGGTAAAGCCAAGCAGGAGAGACCCCCACATAATGAGTAAGGCCAGGTTGTTTGCAACAGGAGGAGATGTAGAGTTAGAGCAGGGAAACGGGATGGTGGGAGAAAGACAGGAACAAGTGCATGGAAGGGGGGGAAAAAGAGTTCATGTTATTGTAGCTATTCAGTAAGACATTTGCAATAAGCATTCCTGTTTTTCTTCATTCTTCCGCCCGCCTCCCATTTATTTTCTGAACGCGTTAACAACAAGGGTGTAGACTTTCCAATTTCCCGGGGGGGGCTGGGGCTCGACCAGAGGCATTGCTTTGCTAGGAGCAAGGGTGGCTCCCGGGGGAGGCTGAGTACCTTCCTGAAAATTTCGGCGGGGGCTCACGCCCCGCCGCCCCCACGAAGATTACGCCTATGGTTAACAAACCTTCCATTTGCTTTTCCAAAGCGTGAGCTTCTATCATCCTGGTTCCCTAGTTCATTATTTATCCCCACACCCTCCCACTGTATTACTGATCCTGCAGAAAGTTCTAAGTCTCGCTTGGAACTCCCAGTGCCCTTTTCAATCGATCGGACCAATTAAATGCACGGATGCAAATCGAGTTGAGCTGCATACTATATTGGGGGTTATAGATTTTTGCCTCCTTATAGGACACCTGCTTTAATAGGACAGGCTGGACAGCTGTAGGATAAAAGACATGAGATCTGAGACCCCCAGCTTCTGCCTGCACGAACCTTTATGATTCTGAGTTAACTGCTCAAAATCTCACTCTCCCCACATCTTCTGTAGGGAGGTTCAGACGATGGCGGCCCATTCCAGAGCTTTGTCATTGGTTGGGCCAATGTTCTGCAAGAGGCTACCAGTGGAGGTATGGACTGATTCATTTCTACCCTCCCCCCCTTTTTGAGAGCTTGTAAGAGGCAACTGTATTTTGAAGAGCTTTCCATTAATTTTTATTCCAAGGAGTCATTTTGGTTATATTGCATTGCTGCGTGGAGGTATGGACTGTTTCATTTCTACCCCGCCCTTTTTGAGAGCTTGTAAGAGGCAAATGTATTTTGAAGAGCTTTCCAATAATTTTTGTTTCGAGGAGTCATTTTGGTTATATTGCATTGCTGATTTTTATTGTTTTGTTTAAATGCCTCACACAGTTTGTAAAAGATGTTACCAGCTGATAATTTTTTAGGGGAAGGGGGGGGATTATGATTTGTGTATCCTGTAGGCCACCCTGAGCTCACGTTGACTCACCAATGAGTCAATAAACGTTGAGTAAAAAGTCTCCAGCTAAGAGGGTGATCACTCGTAACCCCATTC